CCAAAGAGTTGAGAACACGGAGGATTCTTAGCAAGAAGCTTATTCAGAGGAAGCAAGTGAGGGCCAAGAATGCGTTTGGAGTGCAGTAAATTAAGGAGCACAGGTAAATCGACAAACTATTTACAGCCTTATGACAACATTTTCTCACGTTTCGACCAAACGACTGTGAACTGAAGGAAAAATCAGACTTGGTTTAGTTCTGTTTTGCAAACACAAATCTGAAGTGTGGCTCTGATCCCCCTAAAATAAAATACCTTAAAATCAAAAGCCTCCAGTAGAAACTATGATCTCAGAATAAATGCAGCTGATTCAATTTTGAGGTTGAGAACATTCTACATTTTCAAATTAATTTAAAGTTGGTGGTTATAACATAACAAAATCGCTAAAAATGAAAGGTTTTAGTACTTTAGCATAGCAGTGTGTGTGCAAGGTTGTCTGGCCCGATGGATCAGGCACAAGCATCCTCGAACGCCCCATAACCTGGATAAAGTTGAATGCGTGTCAGATGAGAGTGTTATTAGTCCTAATTCTCCTCACTTTGCTCAGTAAAGCCTGAATATATCCGTAATAATCTCCACACCTCATCATTATTAAATGAATTGGCTCTCAATGCCACCAGCTGGCTCTGAATCTATTTGAATATTGGTTGAAACCTTAGAAATAAATACATCCATCATGTTCTTGTCATGTGAAAGCATGAGCAGCCACCTCCTTCATCTGAGCCGGGATCTCACATCTGACTAAAACCACAAAGGATTAACCTGGATTGACCTCGTGTGATGAGTGTTGCGTGTTGCCTTCAAATGCATCTCATAATATGTGTTTATTTGCATGCAGCAGGGGGAAAAAATCCCCCCCCCCAAAAAAACATTTTCAGCTTTAAACAGTAGAAATGTAAGTGAAATGACCAAAACCTTTTACAGTTTTTATTAAAAAAGGAGCAGAAAAAACTGTGACGACTCTGCTGCTCTTTATTTAAGGCAAAAATATTCCTTATATTTGTATTTGTTGTACTGGTAGAAAAGTATTATATTTCCGTAAGGGGCCAACACAGCATATTTTATTCTAGTTTCAAAGGGAGGTAAAGGTTAGAATGGCCCATTCAAAGTCCGTTAAATCCTTTTTTGTCTTCACTCTCATGTTCGACTTGAACTTTAGCAAATCATCTTTGCTACATCTATTTGCTGATGCTCTTTCTAACTGGTTGACTTGCTGTTTATGTTAACAGGAGCTAGTGCATCTAACAAAGTGGTCAGTGAAAACTGCCCAGTGCCTTGTGTGTTACAGATTTGACCAGACATAAGCTATTAGATGTACAAAGTAACAATTATTTAATATATGGGTGATATGGGCAGATGCCCAGGGCAGCATTAGAAAGGAGGACACCCAAGAACCACATAAGAAGTAAAACTTAGCAGATAGTTAAGCAGCCTGGAGAACTTTATTATTATTTCTTTTTCTCATGTACAGTGTAACGGACACTGTTTGCTACTGGAAATGTGTTGTGTGGAGCTGCACCGTATTTAATCTCAGATAATTTCCTGTACTTTGATTGGCTGTTGGGGTGGCAGAAGGAGGAGCTTATCCAGGACGCCAATCATGGAAAAGCCACCACTGGCAGTTGCTTTGTTTTTGTTTTATATGTGCGGCAGCCATGTTGAATTTTGACGCTGTGGTTGTAGAGGAACGTTTTCCATTCCGAAGTAAGAGTTTTAACCTAATTATTTCAGTTGGTTTACCCAAAGCATAACTGCAACCCTTTGATCAATACTCACAAGTGATTTATTTTAGGACTGAATGGAAATTATGAGATCATTTGAGATTTAAATTATAACCACAAAAGCATTTTCCTGCCACTTCTTCTCATAATGTTGAAACTAACGTCTCATTCTTTAAGTTTGAAATCCAAAGTTTACTTTTAATTCAGCAAACTGCCATTAATAATGAAGAGGGAAAACAGGGCTAGATTGAGTCTGTTTTTCAGCGACAGCATTAATCTTTTACCGAAGGACACATTTGGATGCAAGCCGTCCCTTAACAGGCGCTGGATCTTACAATCAATACTGGCCACAGGGTTCTGCAGAGAGCGAGGGTGACATCTTTGCTGCCAAGAAAGCTTCCTTCCTCCCTTTACAGCCTCTAATTAAGACGAAGTCGCTAGCTGTCGCATATCACTGTCAGCACACAGCTCACTGTAAAGTTTTACTGATTCATCTTATCCATCTTGCTGACTCAAGTCACTGAACATCTAAATTAACACGGAAAATGTTAGGAAAACCTACATCTTCTTGAGTTTATCCTTCAAAAGACAACAAGGAAATTGATTAAAATTTTTAAAAATCAATATGTGTGAGAAGTAGACAATATAACTCCGGTATTCTTTCTATTGAGTTCAGCTGATAAAGGAGGTCAACTTCTACTTGCTTATATTATGCGGTATGTTTTTCTTTCCTCTTTTTTAACGGGGTTTAAATCATTTTGTCCTGGAGTGGGGATTTGTTTGTATTCTCTACAGCCGCATGCTGCAAAGCGTCTGAGCTGAGCGTGGATTCCCCGGATAATTTGGCGACAAACATAAAAGTGTTTTGTAAAGAGAGCCAGGCGGACAGAAATGAGTCAAGATAACTGAAGGTCATTTTGAGTCATGTTGCTGTAAAAACACGGCACCTGTCCTAACGCCGGTTCAATCCTTGTTCTATGCTGTCATATTTAATAAATGAATGTCAATTCATGTCAGTAACACAATTCGCTAAGTGAAGCACATTATATTGATTAACTACACTTAGGCTGAGGTTTTCAAGCCTCTATTTCTGCTGAGACGTGTTGATTTACCACTTGCAGCTAATGAAAACAGGACAATTTAGGTCAGAAAGTAGATCAGAACAAAGCAAAAAAAACATTTTTTTAAAAAGGTATGTTTAATCTGCTAAAAATCTCCCTCCAAAATTTAGGACCCTGATTCTGAAATGAAAAGCAAAACTGACTATTAGGAACAGTGCAAAACTTTGTCCAGGTGAGAAGAGTAAAGTCTTAATTGAAACAACGAGGCAGTTGCAGATTATATAGCATACATCTCTTTGTGATGGGTCTTTAAGCAGTTAATTTTAATTTTTTTTTCTATTGGTGCAATCGTTATAGGTTTTGAGAAGAAAGACATGAAGTTCTGCTCTCAGAATAAAAATGTAAGCAAAAGTATTAAAAGTTTTGAGGACAAAGGACATTTTCCTGTTTTCCGACTGAAAATGTGTGCTCTTGGATTATAGCAGAAAAATTCCCCCATGTTTATCCACCATAGCTTTTCCTTCCACTGAACTTTCCATTATTACGCATTCCGTGAAGCACCTGCTTCTTCAGCAGTGACTCTTTGTGGCTTCCCCTCTGCTGTGTTATTGACTGTTTCCTGGACAGCTGTTTTGTCAGCAGTCTTCTCAAGCCTTTTTATCGGCCACCGGTCAATTCTCTGACAAACTGAATTTCAGGCGTTCATTAATTTAAATGAAACCCGTTTAAACAGTTATGGATGAAACATAAGCAAGAAATTAGCCAAAGTTGTCCCTTCAATGTGGAGGTTCAGGAACAACGAGAACTGAGCCGACTGCCAATGAGCCCAGAGCCCCTCTGCAGGTCTTTGTTTAGTTTTTTTTTTTGTTTTTTTCTCTTTCACACGGACAAAATTTATGAGGCCATTACGAGTGTGGATGCAGTGTCAACATTACCGCGCTAATACCTTTATCCAGCTTGGTGAGGACGAGGAGGAGGGGTAGGAGGCGGTGGCTGTGAGACGACACACACATGCTCCCTGGAAGACAAACTGTCCCATAGTACCACACACACACACACACACACACACACACACACACACACTTAAATCAGCCTCAGCATCCCAAACGCATTAGCTCCTCACATTGAGGCTGCAAGCCGGGTAATTAATGCGGTCAAACTATTATTTTTTACTTAAAAACATGTTTAAGGCAGAGAGAAGCTGGTGAGATTCCAAGAGAATGAAAATCAATGCAGAGCCGCTTGTGGCAACAATCCTGAGATAAACTCAGCCATCTGAGGCAGAACGCTTATTACGCTGCTAGTGTAACGGCGGCATTCAGAAAAATAAGTCTGGTATTACTGAACTTAATCTCTTATTGTCGGCAAATCCCACAAAATATGAGTGAGAACGCAGGTTTAATCCTCGCTCTCTCTCTTCTAATGATTTCTCTATAAATGTCATAATATGTTCAAATACAGATGTACTCTATTACTGCACACCTAGTAAATGAAAGATCAATTCTCAGATTTGATTGTGTATTTTTATGTGTAGATTAAAATTGTAGTGCTTATGAGAACATTGCAGATCTTTTAAATCTTTAGTATTTTTGCTGCCAGTTCCTGAATCCAGTCTCTTCGTTTGCAGCCCGTATCATTTTAACGCATCACTTTGCTGATTATTTACTTATTTTCTTTGTCTCTCCTCCTCTGCGTATTTTTTGTATCGATCCGATACCAAGTAAATACAGAATCAGTAGCGCCAATACTAATGCCGATACCATTTCATCATTATTATTTTAACACATCATCAAACATCTGAATTTGTGTATTTTTGTGTTTTTTTCTATGAATTATTTTTGCTAAAATGTAGGACAGAATTTAAATAAAGTTTATATATGTCTACAAAATACTTTAATAATATAATTACATGATAAACAAACAATATGAAAACAAAAGATATATATGTTTGTTGTTTCCTAAATAAACAAAGTACAAAAAAATTATCGTTTAAGAACAAATCAAAGAGTCGAGAAACTACAATACCAAAATAAAATAGTATTTCATGAGGGAATCTGAAACTAAAATATCAATCTGATCACATTAGTATTAAAATTACCGGTATTTTCGGGATTGAAGTATTTACCTTCAATCCAAAAAAACAAAATATTACCAAGTATTTTTGTCTAGTTTCTAGAGAAAATATCTTGGTACACTTGAAATAAGACAAAATTAACTTACAACTTAGTTTTTATTGTCACTTATTGTAATTAGGTTGTTGAATGTGTACATGCTTTTAAATTATCCTGTTAAGTTGCACATTTGTTTTGATCAGAATATGCTATTTTTAATAACTGAATACTATTTTTTAGTCGTAATTCTGTTTTTATGATATATTTTTTTAATATTTCTTGTATCTTTGTGTGAATCTACTTGCTTAATTTGCCTGTCACTTTGTTACTGTGAATTTCCCCTCTGTGGGACAATAAAATGTATTTCAATTTCTATTTCTGATTTTACTGTTAGAGCTTCTAAAGGGGTTTTTGAGCATCTCTGATGCCATAGGGGCCACAAATGGGACTCCATGTAACTCCAGTTTCACAGTATAATTTTGAAAGTAGTTCATTCTACATACATAAACAGATCAGGATTTTTACCTGGAGAACCTCTGCAATCACTTCATTTATGTGCAAACCTGAAATCCAATCTTGAAGTTTAAGCTGAAAAGTTTGCGTGTGAATCAAAGCTGTTAAATTTCACCACCACTAGTAGTTAGTTCATGGTCAAAATAAAGACAGAGAATTATCCCCAACATTAACCCAGCTGCCCTGACTTGTGATTGGATCCATTACGAACTCCACAGGCTCTTGTCCTCCTCCATGCGATCCATCTGCTTCAGAGCCCAAACTGCAGCAGGCCTGCTATCAAGCTCGCTGCCACCAGCCTGGTTTCCACGTTGCTGTTTAGCGGCAACGCAGCGGGAGGCGCCAGCAGGGCCTCGTGGCAAGAGGGGTTCAATGGCCGTGATGACATTAGCTCTCATTAAGCTCAGCAACTCATTACAGCGCACCGTGGGGCGATGCTGACCGAAGGCCCCGTGGCTCCTGCTGAATCGTGTCCTCTCACAGAGTGCAGGTGGTGTTGCATGCCACTGCACGTCTATCCACTGAGGAGCCATTAAAGGAACCTACAGCAGCAAAACAAGTGCATGTGTTAAGCAGATGACGGAGATAAAGGCAGTAACATTGTTTAATCTGCGGACACGATTCCTGGTTGGTTAATTGTAGTCACAGGAGTTGAAGATAAATATTCACACCCTTTGTATTCTTTTCAGATGTTGCCACATTACAACCATAAACATATTTTATGTGACAGAGCAGCGCAAAGAAGCACATTGGTGAATGTAATTAACTCCAATGATTCAACACTTTTTTGCTGCAAATCTCTACCAGCTTTGCACATCCAGGGGCTGAAACTTTTTGCCCCTTCATTTTTATTTCATTTATTTGTTTATTTCCATAAATAGCGTCAGGCTGGATGAAAAACATTGGTGAAATCTTTCAGCTCTTTCTAAGATGGACTCGACTGAATTCAAGTTTATTTAATCAAGGACAGCACAGTAAACAATGTTAGAAAAACAAAGCAAACGTTTTATGAAGGTTTTGTAGCCACAGGCTAATTTGCAAATCCAGCCTGGACTTTAAAGGAGTCGTAATGTCATTTTATAGCACAATCAAGTAACTATGTTACCTTCAGTTGTTATAAAATGCTGTGTATATCAACTATGACTTAAAAGACTTCAAAATCTGACGCCTTAAAATTGGCCTCTGTCTCTTTAGGAAGCTCCTGATCTTTTCAGCACTCCGCCTTCAGCGCATTGTCACAACATTTCTCTGTTAACCCGTTTGCAACTGCATTTGGGAGCATTGGACTACGAAGTAGCTCCTCGATCTGCACAGATAGTTTTCCTTCACAAATGTTCATTTAAACCAGCCAGAAAGTAAAAAAAAAATGGTTTCATCTGACTGGACCCGTTTCCTCCACATGCTTGAGTTCTGGTAGCTTTGCAGCTGAGCTCTTTCCGTTTTCAGAAGACGGATTGAGCAGATCTCTGTGAAATATTTAAAAACAGGACATCCTTTCGTGATCCAACTCTACTTGCAAAACAGCTGTATGTCCACTGAGTTTACATTGCACACAAGTGAACTGGTACTTACTACTTAGGTGACTTCTGAATGCAATGAGTTGCACTGGATTTTATACGTTGGAGTAAGCAGGGACTGAATACAAATGCATGCAGAAATAGAAAATAATGTATAGTTTCTCTTCCTTTTCACTGTTCTGATTCTTTTTGTTGGTCGATCAGATAAAATTGCAATAAAATACCTTGAAGTTTGATGCAGGGTGAGAAATTGTGAAAAGTTCACATGGTATGGATGGTTTTATTGATTTTAATATAATTTTTTGTAAAATAATTATGTATTCAACATATAAAAGTTTGATTAAATCGGTGAATAGTGTTACGTTACTGAAACTCAGCATAAGACGGAGATGAGATGATGGATTCAGAGAGAAAACAAGATCTGTTTTAGGCTGACATGTTAGAAATTAATTTCTTCGGACATTAAAATCTTCCCCTTAGATTTAATCTGCTGCTGGTATGGAGTCAAAAGCGAACCAAAAACATAAAACTGTTGTATGTATTCTTGAGTTTATAGATGTAGTCTAAAGTTGCACTGTTCATTTATGGTGAGCTTTCAAAAGCTTTATTTTACTGAACTTATATTTGTCTCGTCTGCCCCAGAGTTAGAAATTTATGAGTTTGATTCCCTTTCCCAGTTGACAGATTCAGTCCCCAGCTGTGTCATTGAAAGTCTGCATCATAAAACTGCCTCAAAGATTAAAAGCCTCTCATAGAGGAGCAGGTTAGATCCCTGCGCATCTGCAGGTTTTAAACATGTCCGATTCTGTAATTGTGCGAGCCTGTTGCAAGAAAAGCAAGTGTGTTGGCTGAGGAGAGCAGTCGTTTAATCCGTCGTGCTGAAAGTCGTTGTGTTTTCATGCTACAGAGAGTAAATAAGTGGATTTCAGCAAAATGGTTAACATTTTGCACGGGCTAAAGAAAATGAGGATTAGCAGAGAACCAATTCAGGGCAGATTCAGGCAGAAACAAATAAAGTAAACAAAGGACTTTTTGCACAAAGTGACCTTCAGATGGATTCTTTGACTCCCTGAATCCCACTGGGAGGGAAAGCATTTTATCCAATCAAAGCTATTTTTATATACAAGATATCCATCACAGCTTGTTGGATCGGCTGTTCCCTGTTTACCTTTTATCTCTGTATAACTGCGTTAACACGGGACCAGACCCGGCCTGTCCCAGCCAGGAACCCTCAAAGAAGGAGAAGACGCAGCACCAGAGAGAGAGACGGGCAAAACGTTCAGCTCAGGCTTTAAGCTAGAAAACAAAGGAAGCTTTAGAGATAAGACGAGACAATTATATAAATAAAGCTAAATCAGGTCTGAAACATTCTCCAAATACATTTCCTCCTCTGAAAGTAGCAGGTTACAAATGTTTTTGACTATAGCAGACTTAAAGTCCTAGTTTTCCTGTGGTGAACTTCAACCAGGCTGCCTTGTGCTCAACTTAGAGGTTTGACCTCATTGCTCAAAAACATGAAGGCTCACTGCAATGAAACAGACTGCAGAGAGCTTATTCCTATCGTTCTTGGTGATTATGAGCTACAAATCAAAAAATTTGTTTCTGAGATAATTTGACTACAACATAAGCCCACTAAAAAGGAGTTTTGTTTCAGAAATGTAACATTCTGTGATACTCCATCTGTTGAAGGGATAAACCACAAGGAGAGAAAACCACAACAGGTTGTTGTTCAAAATGCTCAAAATGCTGGCTGTCCACTGTATCCAAACATATTCATGGAAAATTGAGTGGTAGGAAAAAGCATGAGAGGAAAAATGTGCTCAAGCAACAGCTGTCTATTTAAGGCCTCCTCGACTTCAATTAAATTCACATCTGGATCTCCAGCACAGGCAGTTCACTGGCTAATAGAAATGTCTTTAAAGTGGAAAAAATGTAGGTATAAGACAAAGTATTAGTCTTTCAGAGCTTAAGGCCGCAATCGAAGCATTCTGGGCCTCCATAACACCTCAGCAGTGCCACAGGCTGAAAGCCTCCACGCCATGCCGCATTGAAGCAGTCATTTCTGCAAAAGGATTCCCGACCAAGTATTGAGTGCATAACTGAACATAATTATTTGAAGGTTGACTTTTTTGGTATTAAAACGCTTTTCTTTTATTGGTCAGATGAAATATGCTAATTTTTTGAGATAGGAATTTTGGATTTTCATGAGCTGTATGCCAAACTCATCAGTATTAAAACAATAAAAGACCTGAAATATTTCAGTTGGTGTACAATGAATCTAAAATATATGACAGTTTCCTTTACAAGCGATTACCGTTAGTAATTCAGTGGTTGCACCTACTATCCCGCTCTTTCCCACCGCTACAGTGTGTGCTAACCAACTAGCATCATGGCCTGTTGGCTACTTCCTCTAGCCGCTGCTGGCTCAGAAACGCAACAAAACTCGTCTAATATCTTTTAACACATTAACACATTTCCTTAAACATTCCTCGAACAGTACCAAATAATAAAAGTACTTAGTTAAAATAAACTTGAGGGTTATTCTCACCTGAAAAACAGCATGTAAATGAGCACAAGGGAGACGCAGTCTGTGCTACTCCAACGGACCTTACCTACCACAGGGGCCGCGTTTCATTGGTTAATGCCCATTTCACGTCACAGCGCAGCTACAACGTGCGTGACCGTCTCACAAACACAAGCCACAGTAGTAAACACATGCTAATGTACATTGTGGCATAGACATAATATAAGAGTAGACCCCGCATTGACCGCTCCGGTGCAGGAAATACGGCGGCCATCTTGGAGCGGTATACCCTCCTACTTTGCTCAATCAAAACAGCAGAAGATGCCTCAGCACTGAGGGATATTGTTGTTCGGATCTATGGATTATTATTATTGTTGATCAATTTTACATACTAGTAAAGCGCCATCTGGTGGCTACTTTTATACTGCGACACGCAGAAGGTAAAAGAAAACGATAAATTTCCACATTTCAGAAAGATCAAACCACTTTGGATATAGTTTCATGAAGAATTTTACTTGGAGCAGCATGAAAGATAAAACATTTTCAAATACAGCAAAACAAAACAAAAACTAAAAGCAACAGTTTTCAATGGAAACCTGTTTATTAAATACTTTAATTCTTAGTGAGACTCGGTTTCTATTAGCTCAGTTGAAGTGTTTATGTTCATGGAAGAAGCCCTCAGGTGGAGTTCCTGTAGAAGGACAACATGGCGTCTAAACTCTGAGGCGCGCCTCCAGAAACCTGCTGAGTCTGGCCCTCTTCTCCTGGAGGCGGCGGCTCCTGGGATGCGTACCGGGTCGGGTACTGATACGGCAGGGGGAACGGAGGAAAGGCAGGAGGAGGTCCTGCAAACTGAAAGGGAGGCGGTGGAGGAAACGGGGGATAGAATGGAGGAGGCGGTGGATACTGAGGAATGAAAGGTGGAGCTGAAGGTAAGGAGCTTCCTGGAGGTGTGGGCTGTGTAGACAGAGAGGATGCTGGGGGATTTTCCTTCTGGGGCTCAGGTGGTGAAGACACAGCAGGAGGTTCTGGTTTGGTCTCGGGAACTTCTTCTGGAAATGTTGTTGTCTTAAAGAACATGTTTGATTTACTCTGATGAATTTTAGCCTTTCCTGGTTTTGGTCTTTTGTCATCAGCGAAGTAAGCAGAGGGAGGAGCAAACTCAGAGTCTCGCTCATCTCTGCGTCGAGTTTTCCATTCGCTAAACATGAATTCTGGGAAAAAGAAATACAAAAGAAGCAAACAAGAAGTGAAAGCTTCAGCAAATTCAAAGATCTTGAACTTTACGGCAGTACTAACATAAAAGATTAAGTTGAAGAGTTTGTGAACGTACTAAAAAATTTTTTGGAAATTATTTAAAAATGAAGATGCCTTCTGAAGCTAGTTAGTTTTATTACCCAATTTACCCATAGAAACGTTAGATTCACATAAAAACATTTTAAGTTGTGGCCTTTTGTTTAATGTACAGCTTGATATTGTTAGCTAAAAAAAGTTGGTAACACTTTATTTGAAGGGGTGTGCATAAGACTGGCATGACACTGTCATAATCATGACATAACATCTGTCATGAACATAAAGAAGTCTTTATGAATGTTTATGACTGTTGTCATGAAGTGTCATTCGGTAAATTAAAAGTGCCAACTTTGCATGATTTTGTAAATTATGATAATTTAATGCAAAGTTGGCATTTTTAATGGACTTTCAATGCAACTTTTAGAGCAACTTTGCATTAAAAGTGTCATTATGAATGACACTTCATGACAACTGTCAAACATTCATAAAGGCTTCTTTATGTTCATGACAGGTGTTATGTCATGTTTATGACGGTGTTATGTCAGTCTTATGCACACCCCTTCAAATAAAGTGTTACCAAAAAGTTTTTCCCTTGCATCACATTATTGGACAATTCTTATTACATTCATGATTTAATAACGTAAATGTTTTCTTACAAACGTTTAAATAACGAGGATTACCTTTGCCTCTGTCCCATTCTCTGACATGAGGGACTCCGGGTTTGGTGTCCCTCCTCTCCTGGATCTCCACCTCCACCCTCTTCAGAGTGCTGACCTCTGGCGGCACGTCCGGCTGAGGGATCGGTCCGACTGGCTCATCCTCCTCTTCCTCCGCTGGAACAAGTGATCGACAACAATCCTTCACTAACATGTCTGTCACAACCAAAAACATAATGTCGACTTCACTGCAAAATATCTAACAGTTCAGTGAGTAACATATGCCGACCTCGATTTTCTTCCTCTTTCTCCTCTTCCTCGGTGCCATCCAGCTTTGCCTTCTTCATCTTCCTCTGCCTCACCTTGGCCAGTCGAGCCTGCAGGACGGCCTGCCTCTTCTCTTTGAGCCGTTCTCTTTTCGTCCGCTGATCTGTCGTCTAAAGGAGAGAACGGATGCAGCGGGAAACATTTCGCATTCAGCATGGAGCAGCTTAGTTGACTGGTCTGCAGTATAATCAGAAGAAATAACTTCATGTCCCAGCATATTGTCAACTGGTGTCGATTCCATCATGAGGTTTCTGTCCTTCCTCATGGGACAGTATGTTTAAATGCTGCTTCGTACATGCCTCATGGTTACAAATATCATGCGTGGGTTTTGTTATTCCTGTTTATTGATGAACCCACCTGGTCTCTGAGCATGTCCAGAGTTTCTCTTTGCTTCCTGCGCTGCTCTTGGTCCTGAGAGAAAGCGAAGTAGCCCACACCGAGCTCTCTGGCCTCTGAAATAGTTGGGGGGCGGGGAGGGATAAGAAGAAAACACTTCAGCACCATTTCACATAAAATGGAACTTCAAACGTCTTATTGTCCCAAATGGGAAACTGATTTGCAAAGTGCATTAATGCAGGAAACGGGTATTGAAAGTTTGCCTGAATCACTGCGGTGTTGGCAGGTTTCTGCTCACCTTGTGCTCTAATGTCCTCGTAGTGGATGGGTCCAACCGGCCTCTTCATGGCCTCCTCCTCCTCCCTCTCCCACTCCTGCCGCTGCAGCTCTCGACGCATGTCCTCTGAGAGTAAGGTCTTGTCGTTCGGGATTATCCTATGGAGCGCAGCAGCAAGGCATCATAAACAGATTATATGGAACAAGAAATAAAATATACAAAGAAGACGCCATAAAAAGCTCAACTTGATATGATGGCACCTTATTGAAAACACTTCCCAAATTAACTTCATACTAGGACTGTTGTCTTTGTTTAACCAAAGGAGAAACCAAAACGTGCTTCACTGATCTTCACCTTTTAACATGTAACCCTAGAATGTCCAATGACACCTTCTACAAACTATCTGATCTTTTTATTTTTAACAGAAAAACAGGAATAGTTTCATGCAGCTTTATACGATTGATGTTTATTCGTCTCTCATTAGGAGTAGACAAAAACATGACTAGTCTCCTCCTCCTCTTTTGTCTTTATGTGCTGCCTGAGTGGCTGATCTCTCTACATTGTTTACCCTTTTCCGTTAAGATCCTGGTCCATTTTCACAAAGTTTGGCAGATCTTTCTTCATGCATCTTCTAGACCGTCCCAAAGCATCCACATAATCCACCCTGAAAAGACACAAATACCATTTACCGTTATTTTACGTGATTTGAAAAGCCACGTTTGACTTGAAATTGTTAAAGATTTGACAAACATAAGTTAGTTTTCTCAGCTTGATTTTTTTTAACATATAAAACATGAACCCCATAAATGATGCAGTACGCAAAGATAAAACTTTCTTCGCCCAATATAGAAAATCAGACATTACCATTCCTCATCTGGATTCTGGGGAGGAGGGATGGGTGACAACCTGGCTTTATCCTCATCCTCATCCTGCATCTCCTTCTGTGCAAGAGTTTCTCTCTTCTTGTTGATTATCTTCTGGGTGAAGTCAACGAGGTACAGTGCCTCTGTCTCTTCATCTGGCAATTAATAGGAGAAGTTCAACCCAAAGCCACTGCAACCTTTTATTACATGAACAGTGCTTTGAAAAATATCCATATTATCCATATTCCCAAAACTGTATGTTTTGTATATGTTATACAAGTACATGTAAACCATGCAACATAAGGTCTAACATAGCTAGTTTTGGTTGTCACATTTAGTCACATTTAGTGTAAGAATGGCCAAGTCAAAGTCCAGATCTAAATCCAGTTGAGCGTCAGTGACGTGACTTGAAAGTTTACAGAAATTCTCCATTTAACACAATAGCTCAGATTGCCATCTGTAAAAATATTTTTAAAACTGTGTATTATCTGCACAATTACGCACTACTTTGTGTTGATCTGTCATAAAATCCCAATAAACAATGAGGTTTAGATAATTATTAGTTTATCCGGAGTCTGTAAAGAATCAACCTGGAAAGTCTCCCTTTGTCATCTGGTCATAGAGTCTGGCCTTCTCTTCCAGTTTACGCCTGTGATGGATCAGAAATCAAAAGTTAATCTTCTTGTCTGGTTGAAAGCATTAAGTCTTTCTGTGAAGTGGAAGATGAACTCACCTGGCTGTATCCAGAGTGACCTGCTCCTCTGCCAGCTGCTCTGCATCCTTAGCAGCTCTAGCTGACACACCAGCGTTTTGCTTAATAAAGATGTTAGGTTTCTGAACGAGTCAAATAAAGGATTCAAATATGTCAGCATCGCCAGAAAACTCTTTAATAATATTTCAAGAAATTAATTAAGGTCTACCTTAGAGGTGACTTTCGTCTTGAGTCCAGCTTCAGCATTTTCCTGCCCGAGTTTCTCCCGTTTAAACTGTTCCTGCTTTCTGTAAAGCTCCGCTTTAAGGTCCACCAGCTGCAGAAACGTTGAACCAATTAATGTAGCTTTTTCTTTTTTAAACAAAAGTGCGCATATCAGTCTATAGTTGGCGTTAGCAAGGCCCTAGCTAATCTAAGTTGTTTTTATCGTTTACAAAACGCAAAGCTTCATAACAAAAGCCTAAATGACTAATTATTCAATGTAGACGTCGATTAACTTACCGACGAAGCTGCTACTTCAAGAGTTTTCTTCTTTTTATCCATATTAACTCTATAGTGGACCATATACTCTACTACTGAGTTACCATTAGCATAGCCATGATCCAACTCCTTCTTCTTTGCCAATATTCTTAATCACTAGATGC